CTCCCCGCTCTCTCGCTCTCTCTCAAAATAAATGAATAAACTTAAAAGAAAACATATGTGGCTCTGTACATTTATTTTCCTGTAGCTCATCCAAATAATTTTAGCTGACTGGTGAACTGGAGCTGATGATGAGATCATTTACATACTTTCAGAACAAGGATGGAACATACAAGTGCCCATACTTTTGGCCAAGGCATGAGCAGTTTCCGTCACCAAGATGAAACATGGTATTGAGATGCTTTATCCTCTTGGCTAAAACATGCTCAAGAAAGACCCAAGTATTGTTCTTTATCTACCAATGTTTCCTCTACAGTGGTAACTTCCCTCACTGTGTTAAGAGTCTAACTCCTCAATTGTGTTAGGCTTTTGGCAACCTCAGCCCTGAAGAATAAGTCCTGAGTAGTTGAAACAGCTGTTACAAAGTCAAAAGTCAATGCACCGAGATCTGTGAACTTTATTCCACAAGGAGGCCCAGACCCGCCCCCTGAGTTTGCTTTTACTTTAAAAATAATTCTAACAAACGTGTCTGTTTTCCCAACCAGAACAAATTAGAACTTGCCAATTATGAAAGAGGAAGTTTACTGGAGACAGACTGATAGCAGTGATTGCTGACAGCTTAATGGAGGAAGGAGAAAACACAGAAGCAAAGAAGTCCGTGTGGTTCAGAAGCAAATAGCTCTACATGTGATTACTCTAAGTCATGAATAGGAAGCTAACTTGTGATTTATAATGCTCTGTTCATTCTCCCATAGACTCAGCTAACAATGCCAGGGCTTTTAAACAAAGGCTTTGGAGACCCAGGAATTAGGGCCTATAAGACTTTCTGAGGCCTGTGAAAATAAACCGTTGATCTCTGGCTCTAAAATCAAAGTGAATGAATAAATAGCTACAAAATGTACTATCTTTGTCAACTCCCTTCATTGCTAAATTTGGTATTCAGAAAATATTGATGGCACATGAAAATAATTTGTAGGTCTGATTTTCTCAGTACACAAGAATTATGGGCTATATACAAAAATTGCAGAAAAATCATGGACAAATGTAAATTAAATGTTATTCATGGCTAAGTTGTTTTTAAAGCAATATTATAAAAACCTTTCCAAAAATGTACAATAAAAAGTCTCTATTATTGGGGCGCCTGGGTGGCTCAGTCGGTTGGGCGTCCGACTTCAGCTCAGGTCATGATCTCGCGGTCCGTGAGTTCGAGCCCCGCGTCGGGCTCTGTGCTGACAGCTCAGAGCCTGGAGCCTGTTTCAGATTCTGTGTTTCCCTCTCTCTCTGACCTTCCCCCATTCATGCTCTGTCTCTCTCTGTCTCAAAAATGAATAAACGTTAAAAAAAAAAGTCTCTATTATTATCTTGGGCTGTGGGTACATTTTACTATGTTTGATAGGATGGTAGCAAGGGCGAGGCCCGGCTTAGGCGACTGGCCTGTGACTCTGCTTCCCTTGCCCTCAAGCCTTCCCTCAGTGCCTTTTGGAAATCCACTTCATGGAGAATCAACTCCTCACCCTTAACCTGGCACAGAGCACTTCCTCTGTCTCCCTGCTGTAAGCCCCCAGCACCTCCCACACTAGCCCTGGGGTAGAAAATGGGGTTAGGCTCTCCTCACTTGTCTTCCAGATCCTGCCCTTCCAGTCATGTGCACAAATCTCTGTTCCTTCACAGCTCAGATCATCCCACCTTCTTGTTCTGGGCTTCACCTCACCTAGTAGCTGTCACCTCCTGATCATTCTCCCTTCTTCACTGCAAATTCTGGCACCTTCCTTTCTACCCACCCCAAATTCTGACCTTATCCTGGCCTCTACTTCACAAAACGTGGATACTGTCCCTCAACCTCACCTCTTTTCCTCTAACTCCAACGGAAGAGTGTTTCCTCCCCACATGTCTAGTGGGAACACCTACAACTAATGAAGTCCCATCATGCCTTCCACCTCACCAACCTCCTGAAAGCTTCATCACTCAGCTTAGTCATCCCCTCTATGACGCCCCCTTATCATTATTTTAAATACTTACTTATTGAGGGGCGCCTGGGTGGCTCAGTTGGTTAAGCGTCTGACTCTTGATTTCAGCTCAGGTCATGATCCCAGGGTTGTGGGATCCAGCCCTGTGTCAGGCTCTGAGCTGAGCATGGAGCCTGCTTGAGATTCTCTCTCCTCTCTCTGCCCTTCCCTAGCCTGCATGTGTTCTCTCAAAAAATAAAATAAAATAAAATAAAATAAATAAAAAATAAAAAATTTAAATATTTATTGAGATTATAGTCTACATACTAAAAAAATTCATCCTTTTAAAAGAAGCATGATTCAGTGGTTTTTAGTGTATTCCTGAGGTTGCATATCTGTCACTATTCCAGAACATTTTCATTACCCCCAAAAGAAACCTCATTAACAGAAAACCTATTAACCTATTAATCTAAAGAAACCTATTAACAATCACTCCCCATCTCCATTCTTCCCTAGCCGCAGGCAACCAAGAATCTGCTTTCTGTCTCTGTGGATTTGCCTATTCTGAACATTTCATATAAATGGGATCATATACCACATGGCCTTTTGTGTCTGGCTTCTTTTACTTAATATAATGTTTTCAAGGCTCATCCACATTGTAGCATGTATCAGTGCTTCCTTCTTTTTTATGGTTAAATGATATTCTATTGTATGGATATATCGTGGTATGGGCTGAGGATCTGTGTCTCCCCCCAACTCATATGTTGAAGCCCTAATACCCAATGGGATACCCACAATGTGATATCACATTGGGAATTTGGAGGTGAGGCCTTTGGGAGGTAATAAGGTTAGATGAGGTCAAGAGGGTAGAGCCCCATGATGAGATCAGTGTTCTTATAAGAAAAGAGAGGAACACCAGAGCTTCTTCTCTCCTCCATGTAAGGATCCAGTGAGAAGGTGGCTGTTTGCAAGCCAGGAAGAGAGCTCTCACCAGACACTGAATCTACTGGCACTCGGACCTTGGACTTGCCAGCCTTCAGAACTGGGAGAAATTAAAAGCCTGTAGTTTAAGCCACCCAGTCTATAATCGTTTGTTATGGCAGCTTAAGCTAATACATACGTTTTGTTGTTAATATAATTTTATTATCAATAATAAACAAATGATGCACATTGGGTTGTTTTCACTTTTTGGCTATTATGAATAACAAAATGAACATCTGTGTACAAGTTTTTGTGTGAACATAGCTTTTTATTTTTGGGGGGTATATATTTAGGAGTAGAATTGCTGGGTTATATGGTAACTCTATATTTAACTTTTTGAAGAACGACCAGACTGTTTCCTAATATGGCTGCATCATTTACACTCCTACCAGCAATGTATGAAGACTGGAATTTCTCCACATCTTGCCAATACCTGACATTGTCTGTCTCGTTGATTATAGTCATCCCAGTGAGCATGAAGTGGTGTCTCATTATGGTTTTGATTTGCATTTCCCCGATGATTAATAGTTTTGAGCATCTTTTCAGGTGCTTATTGATCATTTGTATATATTTTTGGGAGTAATGTCTATTCATCTCCTTTGCCCATCTTTAAATCGAGTTGTCTTTATTTTTTTATTATTATTATTTTTAATTTTAAGTAGTTTTCATGCCCAGCGTGGAGCTCAATGAAGGGCTTGAACTCATGACGCTGAGATCAAGACCTAAGCTGAGATCAAGAGTCAGACGCTTAACAAACTAAGCCACTCAGGGGCCCTGGTTGTTTTTTTATTGTTGAGATGTTTGTCATCATTTAAAGATGGTCAAGTGTCTACCATTTTAAAGCAAACAAACCCTTGGCCAACTCCAAATTCCTGCTTCAGCCACTGTTTCTTGCAGAACTTTTTGAAACTGTTTTTGACACTTGTGGTTTCCACCCACTCTCTTTTGAAACTATTGCAATCTGGCTCCTGAAACTGCTCTGAGCAAGATCACCAGTGGCTGTTTTGCTACTAAATACAAAGGACACTTTTCAATTCCTAGCTTAATTTCTCTCTGGTATTTATCACTGAGTTCCTCCCCATCTTTATCGAAGGACTGGAGATCCTTGACTTAAATCAGCACATGCTTATGATTGTTCTCACAGATCTGTAGCTGCTCTCCAGTTTTCTTAATGGGTTTCTCTTATTCTGCTCATTCTCAAGTCTTCACCTTCTTCAAGATTTTGTCATCAGTCCTCTATTTTCCATTTTTACATGGTATCACTAGGCACATCCACTCTCATGGGTTTAATTACCAATTAACACAGTTCATTCCTACATCGCATCTGTATCTCCTGCCTAGACTATATACTCCTGGGCTCCCAATTTACATATCTGTCTTACTTGGACTTCCATCCATCCTTAGACTTTACATGTCCCAAACCAAACATTTTATCTTCACCTCCGTAGCCCTCCATAACTCAGGAAATAATATTACAGAATTCCACACACTAAAATTTTTTGGTCATTCACACTTGTTTACTTGCTTCCATCCCAGACACCTGTTCACTAAGCCCCTACCATTTAGCAAGATGACCCCAGAGGTGCTCCCTTCCCAAACTGTGGCCAGTAATCTTTCTAACATGCAAATCTCAGCATATCATCCCTCTGTTTACATGAGCTACTATAAGAGATGGGATTACCCTGACTTTGGAGCCAGACACATCGCGATTTTAACGTTAACACCACTCACTGGCTGCAAAACTGTGATGAGTTAACTTCTCCACGTTCTAGTCTTCTTGTTAAAAAAAAAAAAAAAAAAAAAAAAAAAAAAAAAAAAAAAAAAGGAGAGACACACAGGAACGTACCATTTCAAGGGTCTTCCTCAGGATTCAGAAGATGCGCCCAGGTGCCTCTGGCTCAGAATCAGGCACATCAGTATATTTTAACTATTATTTTTATTAAGACCTCTCAACAGAGGCAAATCAAGTATCATCACTTTCATCCTGAAATGTGAAGATTAAATGGAATGACTTTAAACTCGTTTAAAACAAGACTCCTTTGGACACTGAAGCCTGGTAATCAATTGCAGCTCCACTCCGTGCTGATGAGCTCTCAGCTTCAGCGTCCAAAAGGTGCTCCGGAGAGGAGGCGACAGTGGTGCCACTGGCATTCCGAAATGAGGACGCAGAACCGGGAATCCTTGCCGCAGCCCCGGTCTGTCCCGAGGCGCGGCCGCAGGGAAGTGCTGACTGCAAGACTCTTCCCCGCCCCGCCCCCGCCCGTTACCCGGGCGACAGTCCCCGCCGCCCCTTCGCCCGGCCGCCAGGCTCCCAGACCCTAAGTACGGAAAGCCTTTGAGGCAGAACCCACACAACCAAAACCACAAACCACAGGAGCCATCCCAGCCAGGTCGCTTCCTCCAGTCCCCCGCCAGCACCCTGGGCGGCGCTCACTCCACCCTGTGGGCCGCGGCGGCGGCGACGGCGACCCCGGGAGGTCCCCAGGTGCGGGCTCGCCGCCGCAGGTCTGCCGCCCGGCCCGGCACTCCTTCCCGGAGCTCGCGACGCTCACCTTGAAGGACATCTTGCACATGTCCGCGGCCGCCCCTGCGCGACCCGCGCGCTTCCGACCCGGGGCGCCAGCTCCAGCCCGCCCTCCCTTCCCCGCCGCGTTCCGCAGTGGGGCGGCCTCCCGCGCCGCGCGCTCCCGCCGCCGCCGCCTCAGACTGGACCGGGGGCGGGGCCACCGGGGGCGGGGCGGGGCCACAGAGGGCTCCGGGTAGAGCTCTGGAGCAGGAGCATCGGCGCCTGCTGTCTGCCGACTCACCTAGCAGACGCTGATCTCCGTGGGCACTGCGCACTCCATACATACACGCACGCATACCACACCTACACACCACACCCACATACCACTGCTCACACAGCCACAATCGCAGTCTCACACACACCAGTGTACAATGCTACACTGAGCACATTCTCCACCATCAACACACACAGTGCTGTCCACACTCCTGTCCACGCACCCTCCCTCTTTCCTACACACAGTCCACGTACATCCTCAATGTTGCTACACATACACACACTCAAGACTCCACACATACACAGGTTCACACATAATACTCCCACACTCATATCTGCCTATACACATTACACACCCACCCCCAACCTCACACCACACATTTTCCAAAAGAGCACGGTCTGCATCAGATGACTTCCAACCTTAATTATAGCACAAATATTGATAATATAGATGAAACACGAGAAAAGAATTCACCCACTGTTCTACCACCCTATCAAGAGCTATTTTCATTTTCATTCCTGTCGTTTTAGATGTTCTTTTCTTTCTCTCTCTCTTCTTTCCTAATAATCTTTTTTTGTGTGTTTTGTTTTGTTATGTTTTGTTTTCCTCCTGGGGAAAGAGCTGGGAAACAAGCCTTTTGATTGAATGAGTGATATGTGGTATTTTCCTTTTTGGAGGTGAAGAGCAAATTTTGAAATGTTACGCGTACCCCTCTTCCTTTTGATTACACCGGTTACCTCCTCCTTTCGGCCTTCCCCTTCATGGCTGGAGCATCTCAGGAGCTGTTTACTCCCTCACACATACTTGCCGCTGGCCCAGGGTTGGTTTGGGGGAAATAAAAGCAGAGAGTCACATTTTTTAAATTAAAAAATATATTGTTTTTAAAGCGTAAAAAACAATAAAAGTCTTTTTAGAAAATTCAAATGCTAAAGGAAAAGTAGCCGTCTCCCACCCTCACAAGGTAGGAATGTACTAATCCCCTCCCCCTCACCTCTGTTTGTGTCTCCTTCCCTCTTCTCAACTGAATTGGTAATGAATATTTAATTCAAAAGTAAAAGATAAAAATAAAAAATAAAAGCTCATGATGAAATAAAAAATGTTTATCTGCTATGGATAAATTGTATTACTTTGTGCTTTATTTTGAAATAAAAACATTAAAAATTTTTATAGAAAATTTCAATTTTTAAATCAAGAAAGACTCACAACTTTGCCTTGCCTTAGGTGTTTATGGATGAGATAGTTTTGAAGTTGCCATGCAACATTATTATGAAGATTGAGCACGGGAGGTTTTGCTTTCATAGTTTTGATAAACAAAAGGAAGGAAGAGAGTATATTTTGAGTGCTGTCTGTGGGGTGGGTATTATGCCCATTCCACAACTGAAAAAACTAACTTCTGAGAGATGACATAATTTGCTGAGTGATGACGCTAGACCTTTAATTCAGTCTGTCTTGCTCCGAGGCCCATTTCCTTTCCACTATCACTTGCTGCTCAAAGTTGGTTTTGGCAGTGGTCTGGCCAGGTTGCTGATGGGATTCTTGTGGAAGTCGCGGGAAAGAATATGCCTGGGCATCATCCCATGTGCCTGGCTAAGTTCATTTTCATAATAGAGCCCCCAACAGAACAAAACCCTTGTGATCACCACCAGACAACTCCATCTAAATAGGCCCATCCAAAATTTAACAGTGACGCACCAGGCCTCATATGTGAAACCCTACCTACCCCATCCTCTCTATCCCTACCCTCTCTATCCAAATAATTTCTCACTACCCAGCAGAGTGTCTCCATCCTCGTCAGCAGTTTTCCTTGTTATCACCCTCCCTCCCATCCCTAGGTCTCTCTTCCCTCCCTCCTCTTCTGTCTGCCCTAACTCAGATCCTGACCTTCCTGGGGTTCCTCCTGGCTTAAGTCCCCCTCCTGCACCCTGCCCTTCAGCCATCTCTCTCCCAGCTTTCCTGACACCATAGTGTCTCGTGTTGCTCCTAGACTTCACTTCTGTTACTTTTGATTCCTCCAGCAGAGTTTAAATTCTTCAAAGCCAGACCCTGGGTTTTCTAATATATCTTTCATGTTCTTCAGGGGCTAGTTTGCAGCAGGAGAGATGGTAGGTGGTCAAGGTTTAGGAATCATTGATTCAGGGGCGCCTGGGTGGCGCAGTCGGTTAAGCGTCTGACTTCAGCCAGGTCACGATCTCGCGGTCCGTGAGTTCGAGCCCCGCGTCGGGCTCTGGGCTGATGGCTCAGAGCCTGGAGCCTGTTTCCGATTCTGTGTCTCCCTCTCTCTCTGCCCCTCCCCCGTTCATGCTCTGTCTCTCTCTGTCCCAAAAATAAATAAACGTTGAAAAAAAAAAAAAAAGGAATCATTGATTCAATAGAAGATTCAAGGGATTGTGTTCTCCATGTATCCACGGTCAGATGTCCCACCGCGTCTGTCTGCAGGCCTCCATGACTCATGCACAGACATCCGTGTTCATCTCAAATGAGGCCATATTTTCTGTCACCTTCTGTTCACGCCAGCGCAGACTGCCATGTGTATGTTCTCGATGTTGCACTGTCCCAGTTTATGCTCCAGCAGGACTTGATCTAGACAGAACTGTGAAGTAGGTTAGATTGGTCTCCTGAGCAGTCTCCCTCCTCTTTTTTTGTGATCAGGCCCCTTCGCCCCAATTAAGAGTCTGCTCTGGACCACTTGCCTGTCTACATTCCCTGTCTGACTCTCACCCCACATCCTGGCTCGTTAGCTCAGTCTCTTCACTTGGAATTTACATTAGATGAGCCTCACACGTTCCAGAGTGTAGTGGCCCAGCATTGAATAATCTGCCCCGCATCCGTGGCCCCTTTCCTGTTCCGTATCAGAACACTAATTTTGCTCAGGCATCTACCATACTCCTCCTTCGGATATGCTTCAGGGAGCCCAGCCCTCTTTTCTGCCCTAAGCTCTCTGATCTAAGCTGGTGATAGTGTCTGGATTAGGTGGAGCATGTGACAAATCCTGACCTCTGAGACGTGAGAAGAGGTGTGCTGGGAGCTTCTATAAGAAAGTTTTCTTTGCTTCTAAGAGAGACACCCAGGAGGAGAAGGTCCTTTCTTCCACACTGTCCTGTGTGGATCTGATGCCTGGAAGGATGCAGTCACCTTGTGACCATGAGGAAAGCTATCTCCTGAGGGTGGCAGGACAAACAGATGGTGTCACTAAGGTCTATGTGGACAAACAGGGGCTGCCTTGTCCCTGGACTTCTTGCTGTGTAAGCCACTTTCTGTTGAAAGTATTCTGATACTGGGTGAGAATGGAAGCAAGGTTTGGGGGACAAAGGGTCAAGAACTTCAGCCACATTGATTAGTGTCCATTATGTGCTTGTATTTTGAATGTCACTGAATTTTATTCTCACTCCAACCCCCTGTGAAAGCTATCATTGATAATGAAATTGAGACTCAGAGTGGATGCAAAACTTGTTCATTATCACAAGGACTGGAAGTAGGAAAGTGGTATTTGGACCCAGGCAAAGAGAGTAGAACTCCTGCTCTGTCTCCCATGCTGTCTTACCAGGTTTGTATGCAAATGTCTGTTGAGTAAATGTCAGAATGAAGTTTCTTGTTCTGCATTTTATAACCGTAAGTTTACGGGTGATATCCCTCTGAATAAATGAATTGCTGACAAGGTACTATGAGAAGGGGCTGGAGCACTGTAGCCAAGTGGTACACATAGATTTTGATTATTAGTTTTGATAAGTAAAATCCCTGCCTTTGGTAGGCAATATCCCAACCTATAACTAAATCCAGGTGATACACATAGATTTTGATTACTGCCTCTGATAGGCGATATCCCTACCTGTCTACTCAATAAATATTCTTAAGGTGGAAGTTTTAGCCTAATGAAATGAATTTTTTTTTCTGATTACCAACCCAGAATACAAAAAGAAGAGAAAAAAGCAGAAGACAACAATGGCCTATAAAACATTTTCCCAGGGTCATCAGGGGTTAAATATACCCCTGATCTTTCCTTAAGCATGCAGTAACATAATCGGAAGTATGTGTACTCTGCTTTTTTTTTTTTTTAATTAAACATGATCGTGTGAGTATTTTCCTCTGGCATTAAAGATTTTTGAAAATCCTGCATTTAAAATTAGCTACACTATACTCTATTTAGCCTTCCTCCTATTTTAACAGCATTTAGTCCTTTCTCTTATTGTAAGTCCTTTCTTCAAAGATAAGATCTATAAGTTCCTTTTAGTTTGTATAATTAAAAATAATGCTAATAACTATTTTATACCTAAGGTTTATTCACATTCCTCATTATTTCTTTAGGATACATTCTAGGATTCCAGACTGAAAGCATATGAATATTGTGAAAACTACCAATTCATAAGTAAAAATTGCTTTTTAGGAATGCTACACCAATTTTATACGTCCATCTAAACTGTCACATTGTTATTTGAGATTTTTCTCAAAGCTTCCAATGACAGTGTAAGCAGACATTATAGGCACTAAACTTTCTATGTATCTGTTTGCTTTTTCATACCCCTGCCAGATAATATTTAGATTCTCTTAAATAAATGATATAGAATAAAACAGGGTAAAAATAAAATAAGGATTTAAAAATGGGACAGAGAAAATTGAAAATAAGAAAGATAACGCAAATCTAGAAAAGAAGGAGAGCATAAAAAGAGAAGCAGGAAGGACATACAATTTGCTCTAAGCTTTTTAGCAATCAATGCAGAGGATACACTATCAACCATGATCATGGTTCATCATGTTTGTAAAATCAAAACTCTTCAGCTGCATGAAAGAAGGCCAGCTATTGCAGAGACAAGTGAAATCATATGGAGCAAGGCACAGTTTCCTCAATAATCCCTTAATGGCACATGCATCAGTGAATTTCACAGAGCTGTTTTGGGGACATTTCTTTACGTAAACTGACAACCTAACATCAAAGCCTTCAGGAAAACCCCGAATAGTGCAGTTTAGGTACAGCATCTTCTGGGCTGGCTTCCAGGAGAATGGGTGGACTACTGACCCTCGGGTGGTCCTGTGTTAAGTACTGTTCCCCTTGAATCATCAAATGACTCAGTTTGAGTTTTATTCTCCAGCTGGTACCTGGAGTTCTACAATCAGTAGAACTAGAAATAAGAAGTCCCCTCTTATAATAGTTCAGAAGCCTGACATGAACTTAAATGGGAGACTATCGATGCAGCCAGGGAATAGATAAAGCCCAGGAGGAACCCAAGGTGGGATGCTACTGAGCCCTAGCAGACAGAGTTCTTGACCATGGACATCAAGTGGTTCTATGGCCAGAATTTCCCATCACGAGCTAGGTTCTGTCACAAGGTTGGTGGACCCAGAAACAATCCACCCTGAGAAGGTAGTGGCATATCTGGGACCAAGTCTGAGCAGGAACAGATGGCACCAGCAAACTGCACGAGCATGTCGCCAGCACCTCTCTTTCAGTGAGCACTTCCTGTTTGTGGAAAGCCCTTAGGACATCCTGATGGAGACGGAAAAAGCTTGAGCTTGGTTAGTGGCTTGCTGTTCGAATGGGGGGATGGATATGGGTGTAAGCTGAAAATGGATGGTGGCTGCACTACCACCACTTAGGACTGATGGAGGCTTGAAAACCAGAACTTCAGGTGGAAGACATGGCCACCTACTTTGCATGGAGAGAAGTGGCCCGAGGTTAGATTATACATGACCCAGGGACAGAGAAGAATGGCTTGAACTGTGCTCAGGTCCTAGGCAGGAGATAGATTGCAAGACTGGGGAGAAGGGGCCGGGGGTAGAGACCTGTGGGTAGACATATTGGAAGAGGCAGATAATGTGAATCTTTTTATATTACATACTAATGCACAATGGAGAGCAGTCACCATAAGAGAGGCACTAGATGACCAAATACACCAAATGACTTTACCAGTTGACATCAACCATCCTCTATTATTGACCTCCCCAGTATTGGCATGATGAGACATGTATGATGTAGCCATGGTAGCAGAGATGAAAGCCATGAATGGGCCTAACAGCACGGACTCCCATTTACCAAATGCGATTTAACTACCGTGACCACTAACTGGCCAATAACAGGGACCAATCCTTAGTCTCCAGTATGCCATCATCCCTCGAGGAGATAACCTAATCACTTGGTGGCAAATTGACTACATTTGACACTTGTCATCCTAGAAGGCCAATGATTTATTTTGACAGGAACAGACACATACTCCAGGTATGGGCTTACCATTCCTGCCCGTGGGGCCTGAGCTAACACTACCATTCATGAGTTAGTAGAGTGCTTATTCCACAGCACAGAATCCAAAACAGCATTATGTCAAAGCAAGAGAAGCACTTTACAGCAAAGAAGGTGTAGGCATGGGCTCATGGCCATGGCATCCACCAGTCATATATTATACCATGTTACCCAAAGCTGACAACCACTTTAGTGGAGTGGTATGTTGAAGGCATTAGCTAAGGTATCAACTTGGAGATAATACTTTATAAGCATAGGGTACCATCTTTCAGCACACAATATGCAGTTTAAATTGAAGAGCTTTCCATAATGCTGTGTCCCTATCGCAAGAATATGTGAGTCCGCAGACCAAGAGGTAAAAGCCAGTGACCCCCCTATTCTCAATGAGTTTCTCATGAGTTATTCTCAATGAGTCACTTGCGTTTCTTGTCTCAGCAACTCTACTCTCTGCCAGTTTAGAAGTCCTGGTTCCCAAAAGAAGGAACATTTCCACCAGGAGACACAGTAGTAGTCCCATTGAACTCTAAACTACAGCTGTGGCCTGAGCACTTTAGGCTCTTTGTGTCTACTGGCAGCAGGTTAAGTAGATGAGTCACCATCTTGGCAGTGGCATTGAACACCTGAAACCAATATAATGTTTTGTCAATTATACCTAAATAAAAAAGGAAAGAAATTATTGCCATTCTTACTCCAATGAGAATAATTTTTAAAATGCTCAGTCTGATATTAAAATATGGCATAGAAGCTGTTGGTATGCTGTATCTACTTTGCAGGGTCTTTTGATTGTAATGAGCATGTTGTAAATACTGCTGTTGATTTAGCTATTTTTCCTCTGATACCTAAATCTATTTCTTAGGAGATTCGTCCTTTGACAATCTATTCTTCTTTATCATATCTTCTGAAAAGAATGTTCTTTGGGATCTTGTTTGCTAAAGTTTTTCTATTGTTCACTGATGAATTAATAAACTTGTGCTCCGCTTGCTTGCTGAAGCGTGTTGTCTCTTCTTCTATGTGGGACATCTGAATGTTGCTTTGGGTGGAGTACCCTGGCCCATGGAGTCCTGGTCTTTGTATGAGGATTCCACCCTACCTCTTTTTCTCAGAGAGGAGGAGGGCTGCAGCAACATAGAGGAACGTCACAAAATGGCCCCACTATCCCTCCAAGGGGCAAGAGCCATCCAGGCCTTTTCACACTTGGCTTTTTGGTATACTCTAGTAATTTTGCTTTTGTTATCCATCATAGTGATTTAACAAAATGCTAGATTTCCCTCACTTCCGTGGTAGGATTTGATGATGCTTTCTTGAGGGCCAATTGCCTTTGGCACAGTTCCATCAAATACTTTGCAGTTGTGTGAGTTGAAACTCGTGACGAACCGTAACCTATATGTGGCAGGTTTTCCAGGAGTTTCATCCATGGCCCAGTGGACTAAACACCGTGGTAGAAAGGCCAGCCCTACAGCTTTCACATCTAAGCCAGTTGCCTAGATTTTTGTCTTAAGTGTTTGATTTTCATTTGGGTGCTTAGCATTATTGTGTAACTCTCTCAGCTTCCAGGGCTTCGAACATTTATTTAAAGACAGTCGGGTTAGTAATTGGAAAGTACCCTCTCACTGATCTGGCCCTTGGGAATAATAGCTTCTATCATGGATGGGCCCAGAAGTGCATCCTAACTGAAGCTGCTTTTAGCATTCCACTGGGGCTGTGAAGGGGCCAGCGGTGCGAGAGCATTATCTTTTAATGTACTAAGGACCCTGAGTCCTTATGTTTTATTGCCAACTTGCTAAACCCATAAAGGGCAAAAGTGTGGTAGACACATACACACAGTCTTAGTTCCAAATCATTTGCAAAGTTGGCATTTGTTTCGCTTAGTCTTTAATTGCACCAAAACCATTTAAGAGAAGCCAAAAAAAGCTGAGTTCGTTCCTTAGGGAAAATGGGCTAGAAGACTCCCATGATTTGGACATTCTCCCACAGCCTTACATGGGAGCGAGAGTGAACTTCAGATTTAATTTTGTTTGTGGAGAAAACAGATTCCCTCCCTCCAGAGTTGAAAAAGCAGAATATAATGTTTTTATTAACATTTGGCTTTGGGTGTCCTTGTTCGACCAATTATATGTAATGCACTCAACTGTATCTTAAAAACTGTGCAAATCTCAAGTGTGACAGGGGGCTTATTCTTTCCGTGAGGGTTCCTTGGTGGGCTTCCTACAGCTGAGAGGTAGGATGGGTTACAGGGACTTCAGTGAGATTGAACATTAGACTGTAAGTCACATGAAATCAGAAACCATTTTGCCTCAATCTTTTCACAGTCCAATGCCATGTCCAGCCCCTAGCACATAGTAGGTACTCACTATTTTTGAATGAATTAATGAATGAATGGTCACAAATTATCTAAGGATCCGCAAGCTTCTCAGATATGGAACGAAAGCTTCTGATGCTCTTTTCTTTAATGAGATTTGGATTCTATGTTTGTGTGGTTCCTTCATTCAGCAATCTAAGGCATGTGGTACTAGCTTCAGTGAGGCCATTGGACAGGCAACAATAAAGGACATCATCCTATTTTCCCATGAGGGCCACCATCATGACTTCACTGAAAGCAGAACCTTACCCCCCTCCCCCAACAAGGACCTCTCATCACTGGTCCCAACATGGGGCTGGAAGGACCCTGAGGGGCCTAAAAATTACTCCTAAGGGGCTTTGACTCCATCTTTGCGTGTTTGCATGTATTTTAAATTAGCTGGTCTCCGTGTATGTATGTCTGTTGTGTGCCCATGTGTGTGTGTGGGGGGGGTGCTCTGGAATTATGAATTTGAACCAGGGACCTTTTGCTTGTACACAGGATGTCCCTGAACCCCAACTCGCCACTCCCCAAGAGGTGCAGATCAAGCCAAGCTTAGATCATAGCCCTTCATTGGGCACTGCTGGCTTTGGTGCATTTTGAGCAGGTATAGGATTCTCAGTTCCCACTGAGATGAGGCAGATGAAATTGGGGCTGAAGAAGGAGCCACAAGCAGAAAGTGGAAAGGTATGGGGGAGAAATCCAAGTGATTTCACTGGAAAAAGAAATGTAAGCAAAAGCTCTGGGGAAAGCCACAATCAAACACAACTTCCAGACAAAATAGTTCTTATAACATCTGCCTTTCGTCTGGTACAGGTATTATAATGCCATGGTGATGTGCACATCCCAGGATGGGACCAATGTCCTGAGTTGTTCCATAGTAAGTATTGTCAGGGCTGGGACTCAGCAGGTGGCCCAAGGGCCAATCTACTCTGGCTCATTCTTGGAGCTAGTCAGGCTCACTGAGGGGGTAGGGATCCAGGGAGCTCTACAGAAAGTGAAGAAGCCTGGAGGCTGATGCAATGTCCTGGGGGCCTGAGGGCAGACAGTAGGTGGTGGGCACAGCAGGCCAGCTAACCAGAGGATCTTATGGCAGTGAGAGCTTCTACAGGAGTCCTGACAAGGCCCTCCAAGACTCTGGGCTCCAGCAAAGAAAAAAATGGGCAGCAGGGAGTTAGGTCCTGTAAAGGAATCATCAAGTAGAAACAGAAATGCTATGGTTAAGGACCGATGTTTCATGTCAAGAGCAAGGAAAGCTTCCAGGTTCTGAGAAACCAGGATCCCAAGGAAGACCCTAGACAGAAATTCACACACAATGGGTCAAGACTACTTCTAAAATGGGGCATAAAAATAAGAATAGCTAGCCTAATTGGAGGCATCGTGGCATTGCATTGGACCCTTTCTAATGATGATTTCATTCAAAATTCACAAAGCTCATGCCAAGGGTAAAATTTTTCAGATGAAGAAACTGAGACTGTAAAGGGGTTATTTAATTTGTACAAAGTCGCAAGGTCACAGAAGGTAGTAGAGGGAGGAGCTGGGACTTAACCCCGTGTCTGTAACTCTACGACCTGTGTTTTTAATGAAAGTACACTCCATGGTGGAAGCTTGGTCAGGGAGCAGAAACAAGGTGAAGGGCAATGAGAGTGAGCACCAGTGGGGTCAGTCCAGCAGGCATGTTCATGTACATTGTGTCATTTAACCTTCACGGTGTCCTTGTCCTCCTTTTGTTTTTGTTTTTCAGATGAGGGATCCAAAACATATAAAGATGAAGTGGCTTGCCTAAAATTACACAGAAAAAAAAGGCAGCAACCCAATTAATGGGACTACATGTCAGAGCAAAGCCAACAGCAAGACTGCCCTGAGGCCGATGTGCCAAGGGAAGGAAGAGAACTATGAATTCAGTATGTAATATCTGCTGTACATCCAGGCCTCCTTAATCTGAAAGCCGAGTTAGTAACGGTCCTTTAGGGTAAAGAGCAATTTTGAACATACATAACTTTAAGGAGTCTGACTTCCTATACTAAGTGTAAGGACAGGCTTTCACCTGATATAACCCAATGATGCATTTCGTCTCCATAACAAATGAGTCATGGATTTAGTCCTTACTGAGTTCAACACCTTTCCCTCATCTCTTTGCTCAAAGGCAGCTAAATCAGTAGGTGCTATTATGGAATAAGTGAAAGCTAATTTTAACTTTAGCTATGCGTCATTACTTTTGGGTTCTCTAAACTTGAGTGTAATTATTACTCATACCAAGCTAAGAAAATTAGGCAGGTTATTTCATGCCTTTTAAAAAAGCAGTGTGAAACTCTGACTTTTCATATTTGTTGCATGTACAGTTGAGTGAATGGTAAAGACTTAACATAATATTGGAGCATCATAGAATTAGGAATTACCCACTAAGTTAACAATCAGTCAATCAACAAATGTTTTTTGTTGCCCACTCTGGGTCCTGCACTGTTTTAGGCATGAGGCTATAAGGTATTTTGGAGAGGTCATTTAGACTAGTGCTTATTTAACTATCTGTGAAGAAAGACCATTTAAAAAACTCTTTTTTTTAAAAGTTTATTTACTTATTTTGAGGGAGAGTGAGAAAGCATGTGCGAGTGGGGGAGGGGCAGAGAGAGAGAGAGAGGGAAAGAGAGAATCCCAAGCATGCCCAGTGCTGTCAGCTCAGAGCCCGATATAGGGCTGGAACTCAGAGTGAGATCATGACCTGAGCTGAAACCACTTAACCGATTGAGTCACCCAGGTGCTCCCCCCAAATTCTAATCCATTGTTGACCAATATTTTGTAATGTACAAAAAACTTGGTTATGAGAAAAATAATCACATTGTTGATGTCATGGCAACATCAAATCGCTAGAAAGTTAAACACTCAACTTTTATACTTTTTTCATTACAACAACATTTCGTGGACTGGTAGTGGTTCACAGACCACACTTGGAGTAGCACTGATTTAAACAAGGCTTGGGGCGCCTGGGTGGCGCAGTCGGTTAAGCGTCCGACTTCAGCCAGGTCACGATCTCGCGGTCCGTGAGTTCCAGCCCCGCGTCGGGCTCTGGGCTGATGGCTCAGAGCCTGGAGCCTGTTTCCGATTCTGTGTCTCCCTCTCTCTCTGCCCCTCCCCCGTTCATACTCTGTCTCTCTCTGTCCCAAAAATAAATAAACCTTAAACAAGGCTTGACCACTATGGAACCGTCTCAACAACCGAAAGAGTAGTTTTTGCTGGTGTTTCTTTCCATTTTTTTTTCTTTTTTCTTATCATGTTAGTGGAATTGCCAATGCCTGGTGATAATTTTTAAAGAAACTCTTTGTTTCAAGGTAAACCGTACTTTCCCCAACTGAGAGATAAGGGAGAAAGGCTTCCTTCAAAGGCCGACTTATAAAAGGTACATAAAGAACGAAAGAAAGAAATATCAAATATAACACGAAGCTGAGGGAAAAAAATGAAGCCAAGTCTATGTTTGCAAACAAGGATCACAAATGGTCAAGAAGTTACTTTTAGAGAAAAACTATGACTCACACGATAGCTACAAAAGGAGTATGTGACTGTGTGAATTCACATAGATGGAGAATGAAGAAATCTATTTTTGTAGAATTGCCCTTTCTGGCACTGTTCTTGATGCTGTGGCAGAACACATATTCACAAGAACTTCTTTTTTTTTTTTTTTTGGAATGAAGTTAACAGAGCATTTTGGCAAGAGCAAAAAACAGGGCATGAAATTCATGAGATCAAATTTTTCTTTGCTTACCCAAGAGCAAAAGCCAAAAAAGAAAAAGAAAAAGTAAGAAGAGATAAACTGAATTTGTCTTAAAGGCATTGACTTCATAGGAAAAAATTCTAAATACAAAAGTCACATTCTAAAATCTCAATCTCTCAGAAGTGTCTTGAAGTAAAAACTTCCTCACCCTAACTGGAGAGAGTGTTTTCTGTATTTCACTTCAAATGCTAAGTCAAGGTATTTAAGAATGGAACATGCAAATGGCAGGTGATATTTATCAGGTATATTGATGAATAAGAAGAGACAAGATTCTGAGTGTTGTGGTTGTTTGTTGGTGCATAATAGACCGC